CCTAGGTACTTAAGTGTCATTCTATATAATTCTTTGTGTGTGTGTGTGTGTGTGTATATATATATATACAATTTCATTCCTTATAAATTGAACTTCACACATTTTTTTGCCTTTTTATTTCCCTGATTACCCTTATAATAGAAAGTTGAAAAGAAACAGTGGTGGCATCTGGGTTTAGGCTTAATCCAGGGAAAAGCTTTCAATGGTTCTGTATTAGTTGTGTTGGTTTTTGTAGGTTTCTTTTAATCTTGATCAGACTGAAGAAGTTACTTTCTGCTTGTTTTCACTGATAGTAAGGTTTTTTTTCATTAGAAGCTGAGTTTTATTAAGTGTTTTCAACATGAAATCTAAACAATCATGTGATTGTCTTTTTGCATTTTTCACCTATTTGGATGGCTTTTTGGGGAATCTTGACAACTCTTGTATTTTTTATTATCTTTTGCGTGTAATTGACCTATTATGTTTTCCTATATCACTTCATTTATTATAATACTTTGCGGTCCCTGTGAGTCGTGGGCTGGCTGTTGTGATTCGCTGGGACCAGGAGGCCAGGGCGTGGCCACAGCCTGGCTTCCCTGACCCCTTGCGGTCAGGGCAGGGCAGGCTCCCCAGGTGCGCACAGCCTCACTGGGCAGTGGCTGCGACGGGGACGTGCCTTGTGATGGCTTCATCTGCCACCTGCAGGCATGCGCTCCAAGGCCAAGAAGCCTGTGGTGCTGCCCACGGTGGAGCAGATCCTGGAGGATGTGCGTGGGGTGCCGGCCCAAGACCCTGTCTTCACCACACTGGCCCCGGAAGGTAGGGGGCTTGGGCCGGGGCTGGGCAGGGGGTGGACCCGAGGCCCCAGGAGTGGTGGCTGGGGCAGGACTTTGGGTCCCGTGCTCGGCCTGGGGCCAAGGAAGGAGTTGGCGCTATTAACGGAGGGGGAGCCTGCTGCTGGACAGGGGCTGTGGTGCGGGTCGCAGGGGTCTCTGACCCAGCCTGGGGCAGAGATGAGAAGTGGGGTGCGCGAGGACAGGGTTCCACATGCAGGATCAGGGTGGACTCTGGTCTCTGCGAGGTGTTCAGCTGTACTGAACCCTGGGCCCAGACAGACTGAGAGCGCTGCCCTCACCCTCCCCAGATGCACCTGTGGGCCGAGGCCTGAGGACTCTATGGAAAGCTACTGTTCTTTTTCTTTTTCGAAAAAGACATTAGAGACAAAGAGAGAGAGATCCGTTCATTGGTTCACTTCCCAAATGGCTGCAGCAGCCAGAGCTAGGCTGACCAGGAGCCAGGAGCTACATCCGGGTCTCCCACGCAGATGCAGGGGCACAAGCACTTGGGGCATCCTCCACTCCTCTCCCAGGGCACAGCAAAGAGCTGGATCAGAAGTAGAGCAGCCAGGACTCGAACTGGCACCCCTATGGGATGCCAGAGTTGCGGGCAGCAGCTTTACTGCTGCACCACAGTGCTGGCCCTGGGAGCCTACTTTTTAGAATTAAGTTGTACTGGGGCCCTGCGCCTATGTGGGACCTGGAGGGAGCACCTGGCTTTGGCCTGGCCCAGCTCTGGCTGTTGTAGCCATTTGGGGAGTGAACCACAGATTGTGGATCTCTCTCTCTCTCTCTCTCTCTCTCTCTCTCTCTCTCCCCTCCTGTCCCCTCCTCTCTCCCCAGCCAGACTACCACATTCTGTGCTGGGCTCTGTGTGAACCAGGTCTTCCTGGCATCACTGCAGGCCGCTGCCATCAGCCAGAGGTTCTGTGGGACAGGGCACCTGGCTGCCTTTTGTCTGTCTTGAGTCACCTGTAGAGAGCAGGCGTCCAGCCGGGGTTCTAGGCCAGGTTCCCGGCCATGGCCAGGGAGGAGCTGGCAGCTGTAGTGCCACAGGAGTGGACCGCTCCCTCATTTTAGCAAAACGTGTTCGCTGACCAGGTGGGGCCATGCTGCCCCCCTTCCTGCTGCTCCAGTCTTGGACTGCTTGGGAGGTCGTGGATCACGTGTGTGGGGGAAGTCGTGGACTATATGTGTGTTTTTGTGGGGTCATGGGCCGTGTGTGTGTGTGTGAATCGTGGACCACATGTGTGTGGTCGTGGACCATGTGTGTGGGGGTCCTGGACCACGTGTGGGGGGGTTGTGGACCATGTGTGTTGGCACACTGCTGTCCCATCTTTGCCTCTGAGGGTCACGGCCACACTCCCCCACAACCCCCACGCAGTCTCCCTCCGGGTGCATCTGTCTAGGAAGTGCCACAGCCCATTTGGCAAAAAACCAAATTGCATTCCGCCTCCTCAGGCTGACCTTGACCCCTTCTCCCAGGCCCGAGTACCAACTGGGCTGTGTGGGTGCCTAGGACAGGCTCCCCCCGACAGCGGGCCCTGTCCATCTCTCAGGGCCACCCTTGGCCCTGGCCCTCCTTGGGGACAGTGCTCTGAGAGGGGCCAGGGCTGTGGCGTGGTGGGTGAAGCCGATGCCTGCGATCCGGGCCGCTCAGCATCAGATCCGGCTCCCTGCTGGCGGCCAGGGAGAACAGCAGCCCTGGTGTAGCCCTGCTATTTCCATCATTGCCGAGGAGAGCATTTCTAGAACAATGTGAGAGAGGGGCGCAGCGGGGACCTGGGAACCCAGAACTCCGTGTGGGCGGCAGGGACCCCGCTATTGAGACTGGCATGCTCCCGCAGGCGTGTAAGGTGCTAGGTCAATTGTGGGCCCCCGAGAGTGACTGTGGGGCACCCAGGCCTCTGGACTGGGCTTGCACTGTGCAGAGGTGGGGTCTGCAGGCACCCATGTACCCAGGCTGGGCTCCCTCCTGCTGGGTGGCTCTGGTCTTGGGGCTCCCATGCGACTGACACTCCCTCATGCTGTCCCAGACTCCCCAGGAGACCCCAGGAGGAGTGAGAACCCCGAGGCCCAGCAAGAGCGGCTGTACCAGCAGAGCTGGGCCTATATGGCCGCCAATGTGTGGCTGTAGCGGTCAGGCGAGGGGCTGAGCCAGCAGTGCCAGGGTCTGCAGCGAGCCGGTGCAGAGCTGGAGCTGGGCATCGGCCACATGACACGTGCAGTGCTGCCCGGCGCCTTGGTCACTGCGTCCTCCAGCTGACACCTGGGCCCTTCCCCACCCCTAGCACCGGCTGGACCCTGTGTGGGCACCCAGGACCACCTCCCCCCAGCGGACTCTGCCCTTCTCATGGGGCCACTGTGTGCTCCCTTGCCCAGCGCTGGCCTGGCGCACCACTCCCAGGCTGAGAGGGGCCTCCGCGGGCCTCATGCTGCACTCCTGGGCAGGAGCCACCCCTTCATTGCCACGGGAGAGGCTGATGCAGTGGACAGTGGAGTGGCCATGGGCCAGGCCCTGGACACCCTCCCTGGGACAGAGGCCCCACCGGCCCCCAGCTCCCTGCGTCCCTGGGGGCAAAGCCAAGCCCCAGGGTCACAGGAGTTTCTCTTCCACTGCCTGATCCTCAGAGACCCCAGCCACAGCTGCTCAGCCAGGGCAGAGACCCCCCCAGCCCACCGGGCACTGTTGGGCCTGACAGAGCCTGGGCCACAGCCAAGGATGGAGACAGACAGAGACACCCCAGTGGGACCGTCTTCCCATGCCAGCGGGGACTCCTGGCCTCCCTGCTCGTGGCCGGCATGGGAGGCCTGCCCCCGCCCCCCCCCATACAGCAGAGGAGGCAACTGGACAGCTCCATTTATTAAAGTTGTACGTGGTCCTTCCACTAGCCAGCGGCTTTACATGGGGTGCTAGTGAGCGGCATGCTATGTACACGTGAGACGGATGCTGCAGGGTGTGGGGAACAGGCTGGTGGGTGGAGGGAAGGCTGCCAAGTGGCCGCCGATCCTCAGTTGTCCTGGGAATGGCCGGGGAGGGTACTGGTGTCCAGGGTCAGGGGCTGGGCAAGACCCGGTCCCCAGGACAGGGCCTGCAGCCCCGCCTCAGCTCCATTGTCCAAAGGTCACTCTGTGATCTCCCCATGATGGGCGGAGTGAGCTGTGCCTGCATCTCCCCCTCACTGCTCCAGGAGCAGCCCCGAGCCCCAGGCCTGGGGACACCCAGCAGTCCATGTGTGCGGAGGCCTCGGGCGCTGCCTCACCCCCACTGCTGGCCATCTCCTGTCCGGCTGCCCCAGGATCCCCAGGCCCCCTGCTTGGCAGCCATGGTCTAGAAGGAAGCGCGTGGCACCTGGGGTGTGCCCTGGAGCTTGGGGGCCACCCCTGCTCCTCCTGCGCTGAGTCCTGTGGGGCACAGGTGGGGCCTGAAGGGGGCACCCACTTGGGCTGCTGCCTGCAGCCGTCTGGCCAAGGCCCAAGGCTGTGGAGCACAGGACACAGCAGGTGGAGCGCCCTCCCTGGGGATGGGTTGCAGAGGTAGCCCTGCTGGGCAGCCACCCGCAGGTTCCCTTCCCCCAGCCTGATTCTGCAGGAAAGAGGTCGCTGGCTGTCTCTGCAGTGTGCTCTTCCGTGGAGGTGGGCAGGGCCGCGGGGCCCCTTCTCCTGCTGAGTTCAGGCTCCTGGGGTGTGATGAGGCTATGGCCCCTGGGCTGTGATGGCCCTGGAGTCCCGTGGTCCTGGTGCTGTCCACGTGGTTCGTGCAGAGGAAGCTGGGAGGGAGGCACAGAGCCAGGCGCCCCCCCCATGCCTGCCTTGCCCACCAGTGCTGTCCCAGGGCAGCAGGGTTAGCCCGACCACAGCATCCCCCGAGGAACCCCGTCCCTCTAACACACCTGCTGGCCTCCAGCCTCCCCCACAGGGTGGGTGGGTGTCCAGGGTAGCCTGGCGACCCCCTCCCCTCCCTGCTACCTTTCCCTCAGGCCCCCAGGGGCGCAGTCTGGGCTCCAGCCCACACCCCTGCTCCCCCAGCTGAGGTTGGGCATGGAAACCAACTGGCAAGCCCACATTAAGGAATTAGCAGGAGCAGTAATTACAAGCTGGCATCCTGCTCAGCAGCAACAGCCCCAGCTGGCCTCCTGAACCTGCTCCCTCCCCTCGGCTGGGTGAGCCTTGGGATTCCAGTAGTGGCTCCCCTGGGGTTGCCTCTAGGGCGGGCACTTGCACCCCATTCCCTTCTGAGACCAGGCCTTGGCGAGGTGAGGCCGCGGTGAGCTGGTCTGCTAGGCGCATCTGCACAGCCTCCGCCAGGCTGGCGGGGGCCTACTCCAGGGAACCGGAGTGGGGAGGGCTCAGGGACTTCTCCATGGTGGAGTCCGTGGTGGCCATGGCAGCTGCCATGGGGCTGGGCATGTAGTTGAAGGGCGGGACGCGCCTCGCGGCTCGGGGAGCGTGCTGGCTGGCAGGGAAGTCCCCCACGGCGATACCCAAGTCCTCGTGGGCGAAGGGCATGGGGGCAGCGCCCTTGGCCCAGACGGGCCCATCCAGGTCGCTGCCCAGTAGGCGGCCAGGGCGCCTGTTGAGGCAGGGGGCTGCTCCCTGCTCTTCAGGCTCGGGGATGCGCTGGCGTTGGTCTTGGGCTGAGCCACCTTTTCTGTCTGCACCATGGAGTCGCTGGTCTTCCGTGGCGGGGGGCTGACGGGGCCCTCCTCCAGCAAGGCGCCCCAGAGCGGCAGGGCCAAGGCGGGCAGGGTGCTGCACAGGATGTGCGCGACGTCCTGGTCCCAGATGCGCCGCCACTTCGTGCCTGGCGCGACCACCCTGGGCAGTGGCCGCGCCTCGCCTTTACTCCCGCTTTGCTGGGGGAAGGGGAGTGCCTGGGGGGCTCCCGGGGCCCCGCCAATGGGCCTGCTGGCCACGCTGATGTGGGGCAGGGAGGAGTAGCGCTTGACCGCCTCTGGCCGCACGGGCAGGCGCGACGGGCTCTGGGAACTGGTGCGCAGGGGCACGCGCGGGCCGGGGCCGGGAGCGGACCCTGGTCGGGTTGGCTGCTGGCGGGGGACCGCCCTCAGCTCCTTGCAGCTCGAAGAGCAGAGGAAGACGGCGGGGAGCGCGGGCCGGCCTTGGCGGGGCGACGCGCCCTGGGAGGTGGAGGCGGAGTCGGACAGCAGCTCCGTGCGTTGGCGATTCAGCAAGCCAGGCGACTCCTTGATGAAGGTCAGTTGGCGCCAGAAGCCCGAGCGGTCCGAGGACTCGCTGCCTCTGGAGCGGGCGGAGGTCACACGCACCAGGCCCAGTCGGCCCCCACGCGCCCCCGTCGCCTCCTCGCGGCCTCTGGGGCTCGGCTCTGGGGCGGGCCTGGCCAGCGGCGGCGGCCCGTGCCTGGCCCGCCTCTGCATGAACGGGATCCGGACCGGCGACTTCTGGGTCTTGTGGTGCTTGACCAGCAGGGCCCGCGCCGGCGTCTTGGGCACTCCGGTGGCTATTGGGCCAGGAAGAGACCCTGCAGCTGGGGTGGCGGGGGTGGGGGGAGGGCGACTTCCTGGGCAGAGGCTGAGAGGCGGGCGAGGTCTGGGAGGAGCTTGAACAAGGGGTCTTGGCCAGATGAGCAGTGGGGGTGCCGCTCCTGGGGGGGAGTGGCTCAGCGCCGCCAGCTCCGAGATCTTGCCCTGCCGGTGCAGGCTCCGAGAGCGCTGCTGCCTGGGCGCCAGCGCCTTGCCTGCGGCTGCTGGCTGTGCCAGGCTGGGGTGCTCTGCCGCCTTCCTTGGTGTGGCCCAGGGGCCAGGGGCAGGTTTGGGGCCGGCCCAGGGGCAGCTCCAGCCTGGCCCGGTTCCTGCCTGTGCCCCGGGCCTGCTCCGGGCTCCGGCCGGCGCCCCCGACCTTGAGCCAGTGTCCTGAGACATGGCTGTGGGGTCGCGAGGCCGGCGAGCTCCTGCCTGTGCATCCGGCCCCTGGGAGGCCCTTGCAGGGTCTCCTCGCTGAGGGACGCGGCGCTGGAGAAGTTCACTGGCGTGCCCTCAGCCGAGTTAGCGCACGAGTCGTCCTCCCGGGCCGGGGTGGGCACCAGCATGTAGACCGGGACGGGCAGCGCCCGGCGGTCGTGCACCAGCGCTGAGGCCACCTTGCTGAGCCCCGCGGGCACGGCTGCCCCCAGGCACTCTCGCAGCAGCTCCGGCTCCTAGTCTGCGGCTGTGCGTGTGCGGGAGCCCATGGGCGCCAGCCCCTCCAGGTGTCCGGCAGCGGCCTCTTCTCGCCAGTGCCGTGGTCAGGGCAGGCGGGCGGTGGCAGCAGACTCAGCTCCAAGTCCTGTTGCACGGAGTGCTCCTGCAGGGCGAGTGCGCTGAGGCTGGAGGCGTAGAAGTTCTCGTCCGGTTTCTCCACAGTGAAGCGGACGCTGCCGGTGTCCAGCTCCGAAGGCAGGCAGCAGCGCTCGCGGCAGTCGAGGATGTCCAGGAAGCGCTTCACGTAGCTCTCCCACTGCAGGCTGATCTGGCTGCTCTCGGGCTGGCCGGGCAGCGCGGCCTGCGCCGTCTTGCTGCGGCTGGGCGGCATGGTCTGCCCTGGGCTGTCGGAGAGCTCGCTGGGGCTCATGGTGCTGCTGCCCCGCCCGCTGCAGGGGTCGCTGTGGAAAGAGCTGGCGATGGACGGGCTCTCAAAGCTGCCCAGGGAGCTCACGGAGCTGCAGCGGCTCAGCACCAGGGGCATCACCTGCACACAGTTCTCAGATGAGATGGATGGCGTGGCGTCCTCCACGCCCAGGCCCCGGCCGCGGCCTCGCCAGGGGCGCCAGGATGGCCACAGGCAGGGAGGCGGCCCTGGCCCGCCCCACACCCCGTCCAGCTCCGCCTCTTCGGGGCCGGCCTCCTCAGGCCCTTGAGGGAGAAGTCGCTGTCCAAGTCTCTGGCCTCTCTGGGGCCCGGGCGTCGGGTGGAGGACAGCGAGCTGCAGCGGGGCAGTGAGAGGGGCCCCTCCTGCGCCACCAGCCTCTGCAGCGCCCTCTGGCCGCGGCTGGCCGGGCAGCCCCCAGCTTCTCGGGCACCTGGCTCAGGCCCTCCCCCAGCAGCCAACCCTGATTCCGGGCCGCGGGGGGCACCTTGGGGCCGCCGGGGCCCCCCCACGCCTGCCCTGCCCGCGGCCTCCGGCAGCGGCACGTGCTGATAGGTGGGTGACAGCTTGTTGGTGCGCACGCAGGCGTCGGCGCCGCCGGCGTCCCAGGTGGACCCCTCAGCCTGGCCGCCCCGCAGGTCGAGGTCCAGCCAGCGGGCAGCAGCTAGCCATCGTTGAGGCTGTCGTTGGAGAGGCTGGCGTGGGCCGCCTTGAGCCGGAGCAGGGGGTGCGCCCGGCCCCCCGCCGCTGGCCGGCTGTCCTCGGGGTCGCGGCAGGGCGAGCAGGACTGCGCCCGGCCCTCCCTCGGTGCCTCCTGCCTGGGGTCCCCAGAGCTGAGGCTGAGGCTGTCGTCAGAGGAGGTGTGCAAGGCCGAGATGTCTTCCACCAGATGGTCGATCTGTGCCACAGCCAGCGCCAGCTTGGCCTTGGCCTCCACTGGCCGCCTCGCCACCGGCCTCCTTCTCGGGCTCCAGGGCGCAGTGGGCTGCCGGGGTGCGGGCCAGCGCCTGGCCCTGAAGGAAGGGGCTGCCCAACAAGAGGGAGAGCATGGCCATGCTGGCGGGCTCGGCAGTGGCGGTGGCCAGGGACCGCGCGCCATCGTCGTCGAAGCAGCCCGAGTCAGAGGTGTAGTCCCGCGCCAGCCCGTCCACGTGCCACAGGGGCGGCAGCGGCTTCTTGGCAGTGGCCTCGGCCAAGGGCAGGGCCTGTTTCTCCAGGTGGCCAAGCACCTGCACCAGGTGCCGGCGTCGAGCTCTGCCTCCAGCACCTGCTGCTTGTGCACATAAAGGCTGGACATGCAGGTGAGGGGGGACACGGCTGTGGCAGCTGCCTGGTGCTTGGCGGGCCGGTGGGCCAGCAGGTTGCGCAGGGCAGCGGCGCTGCCCATGGTGATCATCTTGTGCCTGGAGTGCAGCAGGTTGCGTAGCATGCCCACGGTGCCCAGGTCTCACACGAGCTCCTGGTCCCGCGCGCTGCAGGCTGACAGGTTCCAGAGCGTGCCGCACGCGTTGCTCACGATGGTCAGGCTGTACGAGGTCAGGTGCTGCAGCAGCGTCTGCAGGCAGTTGTGGTCGCGGAGCACCTGCCTGGGTGGGGGAGGTGGGGGCTGGGACCCGTGTGGCCGGAACAGGCGGCCCCGCCCCGCCTCCGGGGATAGGGCAGCCAGAGCAGAAGGCCCCGCCTCGCCCTCCAGGGGTTGGGTGGTGGTTGTGGGCATTTGGGGGCATTGACCAGCAGGTGGGAGGGGTGGTGGTGGTGGTGGTGGTGGTGTGTCTCTGTGTTTCTCAAATAAATTTTAAATTAAAAAAATGTACTCTTCATAGTTTTAGCCATTTTTTCACTACCTGAAATATTAAGGTCATGTTATTCTAAATAAAATATGAAACACTAAAAGAAAAAGTCCAACCTTACCATCTTGTTGCCTTTTCCAGGAATCTTCTCTCTCTCCTGTTTCATAACACTGTATCTGATATCACCCATCCCCGGTAGGTGCATCTCACCCCACAGAGGGTGTCCCAGGGCAATGTTCTTGGCCCCAGGGAACTTTCTGTGTAACCACAGCCACCAGGGCAGACTCTCACACCTGGGAAGTCTTCCACCTAGCATTATTCTGGATTGGGAGCAGGCGTATGGAGTGGGGGGTGGCCTGAAAAATGTCATCCTGTATCCACAAAAACTTCAACCTATGCAAAGATGGGGCACTCTGTTTTCTGGCAAGTTACATACCCGGTCTGTCAGTTGTACTCCTTTGTTAAACTTGACTACCTTGCTTACCACCAAAATCTGTCTCATTTGTATTCTTTTCTTATGAGACACCAGGACCAGCCATCATCCCTGCCTGACCGGTAGCACTTTCAGTCATACAGGTAACATAATTTTTGGCAGAGATAACCAGAAGTAATCAAGAGCAGTTCCAAGTGCTTGAGGAATGCCCCATATCTAGTTTATTTCTATCATTCCCTTCACTTTGTCTTGCTCAGTGTGAGCCACAATCCCTTTTTACCACATCCGAGTGGATGCAGGTGGAGCAGTTAAATATCATTAGAGTGCTCTCTGCAAAGAGATTCCCCTGATAGCATATGCTGGGTATGGAACAGTGAGGCATTCACTAGGCACTCTGCAGCTTCAAGACAGCACCCAGGTCCCATTGGAACACTGCAAAGCATCCACCTGTGGGGGCCAGTGCTACGGTGTAGTGGATGATGCCACTGACTGTGGTGCCAGAATCACATATGGTAGCTGCTCTGAGTCCCAGCTACTCTACTTCCCATCCAGCTCCCTGCTAATGCTCCTGGGAAAGCAGAAAAGGATGGTACAAGTGCTTGGATCCCTGCACCCACACAGGAGACACAGAAGAAGCTCCTGGCTTCTGATCCAAAGTCAGGAGCTGAGAGTTTCTTCCAGGTCTCCCACATGGGTGCAGGCGCCCAAGAACTTTTAATTGCCATAATTGCACATATTTGTGGGGACAATGTGATGTTCTAATACATGAATACCATTTGCAATGTTCAAATCTGAATATTTAGCACATCCATCCACTCAGAGATTTATTTCTCCATTGTGGTGAGTACAATAAAAATTATGTAAATTTTTGCTTGATCATTTTGACTTGAATGTAAGTGCTTAACATAAGGTTAAGTTACAGTTATGCAAAACAAGGAGGATATTATTGCAACAATGGAAGAGATTACTGTAAGATGTTACAGCACTAAGTTCATTTTCTGTTGCTGTAACTGGGTAATTTGTAAAGAGGTTTATTTTGGCTCCTGATTCTGGAAGCCAGTAGGTGCTAGAGCATGGCATCAGCATCTGACAGATAGGTAACCATGTGCATACAGGAGACAAAACATGTGGGGTTCCCAGGCTTCAGAGCAACTTGTCCTTGAAGTAACTAATCCAGTGTTGTAAGAGCAATAACTCACACACCTCTGAGAAGAAACGCAGTCCTGCCAGGACAACATGAATGACCTAATGATCCCTGAAAGTCCTCACTTCCTGATACCACCTAAAAGACAATCAAATTTCAACATGTGTTACAGAGGAAACCGTATTCAAAATATAGCATAGAGCAGAGAAACTAACAAATTGTAAAAGAAAACTGATTTTGAAATGTAGGAACTTTCTGATTTGATGCTGGAGATGAATCAGACTCTACACAATGGATTAATGAATATAAATCATATTTAGGGCACAATAAGAGACGCTAGGGAAGAAAGTAAGGTAAACGAAAAACATCCTAATGAGAACTTTTCCATTTTTGTCCTTTTCAAAAACATAAACACATATCTAGGAATAATTCCAATACTGTGAAAACCTGAAAGTCACATTTGAAGAATGCTTAATGAATGTGAAAGTGATTTATTGGGACCAGTGCTGTGGCACAGCGGGGTAATGCCCTGGCCTGAAGCGCCAGCATCCCATATAGGTGCTGGTTCTAGTCCCAGCTGCTCCACTTCGATCCAGCTCTCTGCTGTGGCCCAGGAAAGCAGTAAAAGATGGCCCAAGTCTTTGGGCCCCTGCACCCACGTGGGAGACCCAGAAGAAGCTCCTGGCTTCGGATCAGCACAACTCTGGCCATTGCAGCCAATTGGGAGTGAACCATTGGATGGAAGACCTCTCTCTCTCTGCTTCTCCTCTCTCTCTGTAGCTTTGACTTTCAAATAATAAATAAACTTTTAAAAAAAGTGATTTATCACAAAAGACAAAGGATCTTTTAGATAGTAAAGTAGCTGTTAGATTGAAGTGCGATATTTTATTTTTCAGATTGGACGATGAGTAGATATTATAGGTAAAGACTTCTGAATCCAACTTAATAATCCAACATAAAATCCAAAATGTACCTTTATTTACAAATTCATGAACTTACTGATTTTAGAGCTATGTGGAGATAGGATCCGTAACGAAGTAGTATCTGCAGTGTGTGAGAGATTAGATTATAATGGCACTTTCACCTTTATAATTCTAGCATTATTTATTTGTTTGTTTATTTTTTAAAGATTTTATTTATTAGAGAGGTAGAGTTACAGACAGTGAGAAGAGACAGAAAGGTCTTCCTTCCTTTGCTTCACTCCCCAAATGGCCGCAATGGCTGCAGCTGTGCCGATCCAAAGCCAGGAGCCAGGAGATTCTTTCAGTGGGTGCAGGGACACAAGCACTTGGGCCATCTTCTACTGCTTTCCCAGGCCACAGCAGAGAGCTGGATTGGAAGAGGAGCAACCAGGACTAGAATTGGTTCCCATATGGGATGCCAGCACCGCAAGTGGAGGATTAACTACTGCACCAGGGCACCGATAATTCTAGCATTATTTAATTCTACTTACCACAAATACTTTTGGAGGAGTGATTAGGTCAAAGTAAAAAAAAAAGAAAAAAGAATAAAAAGGAAAAACAACCCCACTTCCCCCCCCCCCAACTCCCCAACACACGCACAACCTTAAACTGAGGGAAATTATAGGTATATCTTTAAATCTTTGTTTCCTCCTCTGCCAGTTATACAACTTTGCATTTATCTGCTATGAATTCCTTATAGGCTGATAGAAAGAACGTTAAAAAAATATAAAAAATCATGGAGCAAGTTCCCAGCACAGTTCCTGTTTTGTTTTGTTTTTTAGGCTTTGCTTCCCTAATTCACTAATTATAGACACAGAAGTACATTTTTCAGCAATATTGGAGTAGAAACCTCTGGACCATTACTTTGCTTGACTTTCCATCAACAAATTATTATTTTTTAATCTGAATCCCAATACATAATTACTATTATCTTAGAAGTTCAATTGTTGCATTTTGTTAGGAAGTTTCTGGAGATGTTAATTCAAAATTTCATGTCTCCTGGTAGAATTTGACTAACTTATTCAAATTTATCAAGGGAAGGAGCGTTTAAGACTTCTTGAACCTCAGCATCTCTCAGTTCCTTTCTAGCTAAACTACTCAGATCCAGATTGTTCTGAATTTTGGGTTTGTCTGATTCTTTTTGGTCATCTTAGTGGGCCAGAAATTTGAAGGAAACACATAACCCTAATACTTTCTGGAAGTTATTTCCTACTTATCCTTGGCCAGAATAAGCACCTTTTCTAATTTCTGAGAAGGAAATGAGAGGGACAATAGCCCTAGGACTCAGGAGGAGGAAGAGGTAAGAAAACAGATGCCCAGCTCTACTTTGATTTCCCTGATTCTAAGGAATTATTAATTTTGCTAGTGAAGTCAGACACTTCTTTTACATTTGGAAAAGCTATCTTTAAAAAATATAAAAAATAAACAAGGTAGGGGAGCAGCTTGCTGGTGTTTGACCCACAAGCTTATGTTTTCTGAGAATCATTTCAGTCAGTTGAAATCTAGAATACATTGTGCGCCCCATGACTGATTCTGTGAAGTCTTGGCCAACATCGTGCTCGGGTGGTGTTTTATTAGGAAAAGCTTCACTAAAATGGGGTGAAATGAAATAGGATGTCTTAAACACAATACTGAACTGTATTTGTTTTTTAATTATTTCATTTGACCCCGAATATTTTAGAATTACAAGAATCTTCAACAGTGTCCATAAGTCCATAGCAGTGTTTGTGATAGTATGCTTGAACCCTAAAACAAAAGACATTGTTTATTTAAATATCAACCTAGATAATCACCACAACTTAATCATGTAGCTTTCAAAGGCAAATATCATTTCTGGCTCCCTCTTCAGCTCCCCTTTCTCAGGGTAAGCACTGATGGCATTCAGTGAATGAATATGTGGTAAGATGTAAGAAGATCACATGTGTCCATCCTGAACAAGCATTCAGTCTTCCATATGTCTGATTATCTTTGATGGAAAAATTCTCTAAATATTGCTTCTATGTGTCTCAGTTAGGTAGTGTTATTATACCTGTGAGCAAAAATAGGTCATGAAGATCACAGAGCATGAGCCTACTGAAACAAAGTTCAAGGATTCTGCAAAATTAACTCTTTCCTGTTGGCCAGTAAACCTTCACTTGAGTTCTCTCTACCTCATCCTATTAAATGTTGACATCAATAGCGATGTCACATAGCTGTTGCATGATATATATATCAATCATTTAATAAGTATTTGACAGATATTAATAATTATATACATAATTATGGTTACTACTTTTACTGGTAATGTGTGGCACAACAATGCAAGCTCTGACTTCAAATCTGAAAACTGTCAATTACTAACTGATTACTATTGAGAGTTCTATCCTGCTTTGTCTGAGACCATTTCTGT